TATAAATGTTTAATCAATATGTCACTGGAAACATAATATTGTATGTCAACTAATGTTCAATTAAAAAAGGAAATGTTTTTCGGCAAATAAATATACTTTGGACTTCTAACAAAAGGGAATATTTAATTTTAACTCATCACTTATATGTTATGTACCTAGAAATTGTATAGGGCAGTGCTGAAAGAGTACAGGATCTCTGGTTATGCTGCTTAGATTGAATTTTTGGCTCTACTGCTGTGTAACTTTAGGTCAGTAATTCACTTCTCTGTGCTTCTATTTCCTCATAAGTAAAAAGTGAGGTGACAATAATACCCACGTCACCAGTTTGTTTTTAGAATTGAATGAATTAATGAATATGGAGCACTTACAAATTATGTGGCATATGGCTCATTGAAATGCCAGCTATTATTATCAACCAAAATACAATTGATAATAAAGATTCAAGAAAAATATTAAACAGAAAATTGTGAATATTTGGATAGTAGATTGCTTAGTAGAACATGTAGACACAGAGCCACAATTATAAATTGCCATAAAAGAAGATGAATTACTGCAAGAACACAAAGGAAGGCATGCATGGATCCTATTGTCATCAGGTTCATGCAATGTAGAAAAAGCAATACTAAACATAAGGAATGGAGAAAGGACACCTTGGGTTAGGTAAAAGCTGTATAACGTACATTTATGAATGCATAAAGGTGCAAAAATTGACAATGGCCAGTTCAGGAAGCCCCTGGAACCCATGCTGAGAATATTGGTTGGGTTTATGCTGTGGGTGCTGGGGAGGGGCTGTAAGGCAGGGAAGTAACACGACCGGATTCACATAGAAGGAAAATCAAAGTACTTCTGAAGCTCATAGAGGAGAAGATATGTACGGGCTACAGTATTAGAAGCAACCATGGAACACACATGGCTGGAGTTGGCCTTGGGAGGTGGGTAGGGTTGGGAGGGACAGTGAGAGGCATTTTTGGAGAAGGGAGGCTGTGTGGTGGAATGAGCAGGATGGGCTTGGGGGAGGGCGAGAGGACCCTGAGTTGAACAGAGGTGAGTTGAGGTTTGTGAGTAAGAGGTTTGTAAGTTGAGGTGGGTAAGGGGGTGGTTTGTGAGGTGGCTCAGTTTGTGAATGTCTTTAAAAGTGACCCCAAGGAGTTCGGGTTTCCCTGGTCATTCCTACGCGGTGGACGATCTGAGGAAAGAAGGGTGTTGGGAACAAGTTTCTGGCTGCAGTGTGCAGGACGGATGTGTGGGGGCATCCGAAGACTAACAGGCTTTGGTAATCTGAGCATCAGCTGACAGTGGGTGAGAGGGTGGTGGCAGGAAGAATGGGGAGATAGTGCACACAGGAAAGATGGTTTAAAGATAAAATTATTGGCATGGTGACTGACTGGACATAGGGATGAAAGGGAGGCATGTTGACATTGAAGCTACAAGCCTGGTCATCTTAGAGAGGGATGGTTTATCAGAGCTAATGAATATGGAGCACTTACAAATTATGTGGCATATGGCTCATTGAAATGCCAGCTATTATTATCAACCAAAATACAATTGATAATAAAGATTCAAGAAAAATATTAAACAGAAAATTGTGAATATTTGGATAGTAGATTGCTTAGTAGAACATGTAGACACAGAGCCACAATTATAAATTGCCATAAAAGAAGATGAATTACTGCAAGAACACAAAGGAAGGCATGCATGGATCCTATTGTCATCAGGTTCATGCAATGTAGAAAAAGCAATACTAAACATAAGGAATGGAGAAAGGACACCTTGGGTTAGGTAAAAGCTGTATAACGTACATTTATGAATGCATAAAGGTGCAAAAATTGACAATGGCCAGTTCAGGAAGCCCCTGGAACCCATGCTGAGAATATTGGTTGGGTTTATGCTGTGGGTGCTGGGGAGGGGCTGTAAGGCAGGGAAGTAACACGACCGGATTCACATAGAAGGAAAATCAAAGTACTTCTGAAGCTCATAGAGGAGAAGATATGTACGGGCTACAGTATTAGAAGCAACCATGGAACACACATGGCTGGAGTTGGCCTTGGGAGGTGGGTAGGGTTGGGAGGGACAGTGAGAGGCATTTTTGGAGAAGGGAGGCTGTGTGGTGGAATGAGCAGGATGGGCTTGGGGGAGGGCGAGAGGACCCTGAGTTGAACAGAGGTGAGTTGAGGTTTGTGAGTAAGAGGTTTGTAAGTTGAGGTGGGTAAGGGGGTGGTTTGTGAGGTGGCTCAGTTTGTGAATGTCTTTAAAAGTGACCCCAAGGAGTTCGGGTTTCCCTGGTCATTCCTACGCGGTGGACGATCTGAGGAAAGAAGGGTGTTGGGAACAAGTTTCTGGCTGCAGTGTGCAGGACGGATGTGTGGGGGCATCCGAAGACTAACAGGCTTTGGTAATCTGAGCATCAGCTGACAGTGGGTGAGAGGGTGGTGGCAGGAAGAATGGGGAGATAGTGCACACAGGAAAGATGGTTTAAAGATAAAATTATTGGCATGGTGACTGACTGGACATAGGGATGAAAGGGAGGCATGTTGACATTGAAGCTACAAGCCTGGTCATCTTAGAGAGGGATGGTTTATCAGAGCATCTTCTGGTCACACTTGCCTGTAGGTCTCCTGTTACTCCCTGGCTTAGTCTCATCAGCCATAAGTCTCTGTCCAAAGGCTTTCCTTGGGTTCATGAATGATGATGTGGTAATGGCAATTCTTGAGGAGCTTCAGAGTAAGCTTCTAACCATTCAGCTACTTGATTTTCCAAGGTGCTGATATGGTGCCAGATGTTCCTAGTAATTCTGGACACCTGGTCTCCACAGCACTTCTATTGGAAAGGGCACCACACTGATGAATTTAGCAATATTGCTTTTCTTTGGCATGAATATCAATGTGAATATCTGCTTGACCTATGTTCCCTGAAACTTTCTCTGTTTGGTGGGCAGTTTCTTTTTCTTCCCATGGATGGCCATTCCTTTTTCTTTCATCCTGCAGATGAACTTTACAGTAATTATATAAATTTCAAAGAAAAATTCCATTGGATTTGATCGAGGTTGCATAAATTTGTAGATAAATTTAGGGAGAGTTGAAATCTTCATTATGTTGAGTTTTGTTACTCAAACATTATTTTATAAAAATATTTTTTTAGTTGACATAGTATGTTTTCCCTTGTATGTATGTATTTTCTTAGTAGTTTTATGGTTTTTCTCTGCATAAATATATCAATTTTTTAATGCTTTCTAGGAAACATTTTTTGCCTGTTATAAAGGGAATATTTTTAGTTGTGTTTTTTAACTATTGTATTTTGAACTTTCTTATTGTTGCTACGGTTTTCAGTTATATTTATTTTTTTCCTATATTAATAGCTTAATGGGGTCCGCTTCCAAGAAATAGACACCCATCAGAAGGAGAATTTGAGGAATAACTGGCATTGTCTGGTACTCAAGAACACAAGAGATTGAATTAGGGATCGTGAAGTCAAGGATTAAGGATATTCTCTGCATCTCTGAGATGACATGGTCTTTTTCTGTACTATTTTTCTGGCTCCAGAATATTAGTTCTCAATTTTTTCAGGATTGATTGCTTTATTTAGTCTTAAAATTTTTTGGCTAGGAAAACTGGTATATATTTAATGTTTACAGCTTGATGTTGTGATATACAAATACAGAAAGAAATGATTAGTATAGTTAGGCTATCATATTCATCTCCTCCTGTAGTTCCCTTTTATTATTATTTTTTTGGTGAGAACTCTCTTAGAAAATTTCAAACTTTAGCATGTGTTCTTACCTGACAAATTCTGGCACACACTCTCTTGTTGCCATCTGTCTGCCTCACTGAATTTTGTTTTCTCTCTCTATTCTGGTCTTTGGTATTTATGTGCATTTTTACTTTTTCAAAAGAATATTTCTTGAAAATTTCAGTATGAAATCAGAAATAAAAGGAAAAGCAATAAAGTTTATGGCAGAGAATCAAAGTATTCATGTTATTTATTCCTTACCTTTTATGGGTTATATGTGAGAGAAAAAGTCCCAATAAGGCATCTTAATCTCAAGAATGTTGTCATGAACCACATGACATTATTAGCCTGAGGGTATATTGTCATACACAGTTCTTCTGTATAGTCTGGAGGGTGTATAGATGTTTAACAGGTGCTCAGTAAATATCTGTTCAGGGGAATAACTCATAGAGAAATTGTTACCTTGTTTATCATGCACTTTGCTGCTGACCACCTAGGATCAGAACAAGCAGACTGCCCAGCCAGAACAATGTTATCAGAGGACAGGCTCTCTTGAGTTCAGAACCTGTCAGTAGTTTGAGCAGTGAATGTGGCAAGTGGTGTGAGAGTAATAGTGAAATGATGGAGACAAACTCACAAGTTGAATTCTCCTCATAAGAGTTTGAGCATTTGCCAAATCAACATAGTTATTGAAGTTTCAAGGCTGGTGAAATAATCCCACCTGAGTGAGTGGATGGCTGGTGTCTCTGAGTGAAGTCAACAGCCCAGAGGACTTTGGAAAGGGAAGAATTATTGGTGGGAAGATGGCTCCTTGAAGAGAGATGAAGGAAACAAGGAATCCAGGAGCAGAGGTGTATCATGGGAATGCCCCCACAGTAGAGAGCTATCAGAATGCAATGAAGAAAATAAAGGTGTAGGCTATGAATTTGAATGACTCCCAGCTGAGAATGTCTGGTGGCGAATTAGAAAGAATCTTGGACTGATGTCAGAAAGCCTGATTCTGAGTCCCTTAATTCACCACTTTCTGCATGATCCTGGATAAATAACCATTTCCCTGAGCCTTAATTTTCTACTATGTACATTGTTAGATTAATATTTAAAGCTGAGTGAATACATATGGATTAAATGAATAGGTACATGTTAAGTTTGTGTTGTAAAGTCAATTACACATTACACAGTCTAACATGGTGTAAATAAGCAAACTGGTTACAATCAGTATTTGTTTTGTGGCAGGCCTCTCAGTAGCCCGCATCCAGAACAGCTGGCTGGATCCCATGGCCTGGATGAATAATGTGACTGAGTTAATTATCATGGGTCTTTTCCAGGACCCAGAGGTGCAGAGAGTGTGCTTTGTGGTGTTTCTCCCTGTGTACCTGGCCACAGTGCTGGGCAACGGTCTCATTGTTCTGACAGTCAGCGTCAGTGAGAGTCTGAGCTCCCCCATGTACTTCTTCCTCAGCCACCTGTCCCTGATGGAGATCACCTACTCCTCTACTGTCATCCCTAAATTCATCACAGACTTACTTGCCAAGACTAAAACCATCTTCCTGGAGGGCTGTGTGGCTCAGATATTCTTCTTCCACTTTTTTGGGGTTACTGAGATCTTCCTGCTCATGGTAATGGCCTACGACCACTATGTGGCCATCTGCAAACCCCTTTACTACACAACCATCATGAGTCGGCCTGTGTGTCACCGTCTGGTTGCTGGTTCCTGGCTTGGGGGCTTTTTTCACTCTATGGTCCAGATCATTGCCACTCTCCAATTGTTTTTCTGTGGTCCCAATGTGATAGATCACTACTTCTGTGACCTCCACCCCTTATTCAAGCTTTCCTGCACTAACACCTCTGTGGAGGGGGTTATGGTGTTTGCCAACAGTGGATTATTTTCTATCTCTTCTTTCCTCCAATTGGTGTCCTCCTATATCATCATCCTGGTCAGCTTGAGGAAGCATTCTGCAGAGGGGAGGCGCAAAGCTCTCTCCATCTGTGCCTCTCACATCACGGTGTTCCTCTTGTTCTTCGGACCTGCCATCTTCCTCTACATGCGGCCACTCTCCACCTTCACTGAGGGCAAGCTGGTGGCTGTGTTCTACACGGTTGTCACCCTCATGCTGAACCCCATCATTTACACACTCAGAAATGCAGAGGTGAAAAATTTCATGAGGAAGCTGTGGGGCAAGAAAGTGAATTCCAGGATGGAATAAAAATGAAAACATGAAAAAAGCAGCATGTATGGGGTGACCAAATACGCTCTGATTTTAGCCAACTATGAGGAATAGAGGAATAGCTAACCCATTCATATTTTTTATATATTCAGACAAGCCTCATACTCCATAGTATCAGTCATAGCCCTTTAATAGTTTTCTGTATCTTGGCTCCCCACCAAGGGTGCACAGTGACTCAGCATATCCAGATATTTTATGTTCATATGAGGGGATGGAGGGGCTGTCATTTTATTTGAGAAATATTTCTCATAGACCTTCAGAACAATTCTTATTTTGTTCTATTGACCAGAACGAGGTGTCATGACTATGCCTAGATACAAAGGAGACTGGGATAGGGAATAGCAGCAGAGGGAATGGGATTATATTATCAGCTTAGACCAGCACTGTGTTTCACTTGCACTGGCACATTGGTGTTTGAACAAAGTCAGGGACCTGTCATTAAGGAAGGAGTATCTGCCACAGGGAGTTTGATGAAAGTTGGGTGGTGCACTGTATCATAGTGAAGTTGTAAAGGGATTTGAGCTGGTGTCAGAGTAACTGACTGAAGCCCAGCTCAACTACTTAGTGACTGTGCAACATCAGGCAAGCAACTGAAACTCTGTGATTCAGTTTCCTTGGCATGGAAGTTTGGATTAAGCATAAGAACTATTTTCTTTGTGTCACTCTTTTCCTGAGAATGCACCTGCTTTAATTTCTCTCTAGAGTATAAAGGGGGGAGGCCCTGGGATCAGAGCGCCTGGGAGTTGTGAATAGGAACCAAACCACCCTGAGTTCTTGGAGGAAGGGCATGGGTTTTTTATGCATACATATCTCTACCCAGAGTTCTGAGCCAATTCCCTGCAAGTTAAGTCACAAAGTGGGAATTTGCTAATATCAAATTTCTGATTAATCCAAAACACATTTCTATTAAGACTTTATAAAATTAATTTCAATTATGTTTTGTGGAGGCCTGTGAAGGATAATTTATCTGGGGAGGAATTTTTGTGTGTTTTAATTTCAGTTTTCTTGGAAATAATAAGTAGCAAGGATTTTATATATGATGGTTTCTTTCTTACAATGAGTTTTCAATCTAGTTAACTGACTTTCCTAATTCTTTCTTGGGTTTACTTTCTTGATAAAGGGATGTAGGCACAAGGCACAAATGAGGAGCTGTGTTTGGGCACGTTTTCACATGACTGACCAAGCTTTTCCATTTCAGATTGAATTATTGTCCCCAATTCTTTACTTCTTCCTGTGTCTGTGCCCCTTTCCATGTAATTTTATAGTTCTCCCCACCAAACATGGAAAATACTTTCTGATTCCTTGACTTCAGCCTCAGCAATATGACTTTCTTTGGCTAATGTAATGTGTGTGGAAATGACCATGTATTGTTTAAACCTGGAAGTTAAGAGGTCTCATGTATTGCATAGTCATGTGCCTCTGGTGTCCCTGTGGCCATCATGAGGTGATGGAGAGCAGCTATGGCACATCCTGGGCTACAGAGTGACTCCTAAGGAGGGAGCTGCTCTACCTGCTCTACTGACTGCAGCCTCAGGCCGAGCTGCCCCAGCCAACCTGCAGACCCAGGAATGTGAGAACACATGCTTATTGTGACAAGCTGCTGAGCATTTGTGGTCATTTGTTTTCAGCACAGACTCACTAGAGTTGAATGGCAAATATGCATATCACAAGAAAACAGAAAAGTCAAAGGACTGGGTTAAGAATGGTTACTATGTATTTGCCTTGATATGCTTATCTCACATTATTTATAATGATTTTGCTGAGCATGAACATTGATGTGTCCTTTCTGCTGCCTTGAAGGTTTTACTTTGATTTGAGCTATCTGGAAACAATGTCCACAAATTTCTGCCAGATTTGCACAACTCAAATTTTCTTTTATGTTTCATGGATTTGTTGATTTGGATTCATTCAATATTGTTTTTTCCATGTTTTATAATTCAGATTTTCCAAGATTCCTAATTAAGAGTGAAAGCAGTAGAGTAGAATTGGAGGTGGAAGCATGTCTTTAATGAATTAATAATTTAGTGAATTTGTCATTTGCCTAGTAGCTAAATTGTCAAATCGGTTTATTATCTGAGTTAACTGTTGACAGTTCAGTTATCTGGCTAACTTACAGTTAGTGAAAGATTTCAGGTGAACTACTGTTTTACTACCTAGTGTGATAAGTGTCAGGGTAGGCACACAATGTGAATTAATAAAAGATATCAAGGTAGTGTCAACATTATTTATTTTTATCATTTGGGAAAGGCTTGAACTAGATGTGAGATAATTTGGAGCCAGAGAAGATCTTTCTTTTGAGTTACTTTTAGTTGCAATATAGAAGTGATGTTAATATATTATGCTGCAATGAAAATATATCAACTTCTCAAATGTGTGGACATGCCCAAAAGCTGCATCTGGGATTATTAGTAGAGCAATTGATATCTCACATTTGCATAACATATTTCAAAGCCTTTGTGAAATTATTATTTCACTGGAGTCTTATAGCAATCCTGTGAGGCCAATGAAATATGAATTAATCATTCCCAGTGCATATTTTTGGCAATTGAAACATCATTTAGTTTAGGTTTTATCTGCATGGAACAGAACCTAAAGCAAGATAGAAATCAAGAAATAGATAGTTCAGGGTGCAAATGGTCTTTGTCTGTCTTGTATCTCTGTCCTTTATAGCTTCCATTCCCAAGGTTGCCTCATAGCCCAAGAAGGTGCTGAAAATACAGGCATAGTGACAACATTCCTCACATCAGCAAAGAGGAAGGGACAAAAATAAGTTCATGTCTTCTCTCTTAAAGTTGCAAGGGAGGCTGGATAATGTAAATTTTATTCCACATAGCTGTGTGCTCAGATAAAAATTTAGAATTCCTAGTATCCTAGAAGTGTTAGGGACACGAGCAATCTCTACTCCTGAATATATAACATAAAGCAACAAATTTGGTTATTATGACACTAAGACCAGATGTTCCTCCATTGTGGTCTCCCATCTCAGCTAGGAATTTTTTTTTCTTTAGAGAAAATTGAAGTCTAAATTATATCCAATGAAATGCACAGACTTTAGTATAAAATCTAATGAATTTTTACAAATTTATGTGACTATGTAATTGACATCCCAACCAAGATGTAAAATATTTCTGTCTTCCCATAAGATCCTCTCATGACTCCTTCCAGGCAATACCCCCTCACAGGCAACAAGTGATCTGATTTCTATCATCGTGGAAGCTCAGCATCTTCTGAAACTCATAAGATGGGACCATAAAGCATGTGCTTTATTGTGTCTGGTGTCCTTCAGTTAACATAATGTTTTTCTAAATTTAATTATCATTAATCTACAATTACATGAAGAACATTATGTTTACTAGGCTCTCCCCTACCCCAAGTCCCCCCAGCAAACCCCATTACAGTCACTGTCCATCAGCATAGTAAGATGTTGTAGAATCACTACTTGTCTTCTCTGTGTTGCAAAGCCCTCCCCTTTCCCCCAACCCCCACATTATACATGCTAATCGTAATACCCCCTTTCTTCTTCCCCGCCCTTATCCTTCCCTAACCTCCCATTCTCCCCAGTTTCTTTCCCTTTGGTAACTGTTAGTCCATTCTTGGGTTCTGTGATTCTGCTGCTGTTTTGTTCCTTCAGTTTTTCTTTTGCTCTTATACTCCACAGATGAGTGAAATCATTTGGTATTTGTCTTTCTCCACTTGGCTTATTTCACTGAGCGTAATACCCTCTAGCTCCATCCATGTGGTTGCAAATGGTAGGATTTGTTTTCTTCTTATGGCTGAACAATATTTCATTGTGTATATGTAACACATCTTCTTTATCCGTTCATCTACTGATGGACCCTTAGGTTGCTTCCATTTCTTGGCTATTGTATATAGTGCTGCGATAAACAAAGGGGTGCATCTGTCTTTTTCAAACTGGAGTGCTGCATCCTTAGGGTAAATTCCTAGAAGTGGAATTCCTGGGTCAAATGGTATTTCTATTTTGAGCTTTTTGAGGAACCTCCATATTGCTTTCCACAATGGTTGAACTAATTTACATTCCCACCAGCAGTGTAGGAGGGTTCCCCTTTCTCCACAACCTCGCCAACATTTGTTGTTGTTTGTCTTTTGGATGATGGTGATCCTTACTGGTGTGAGGTGATATCTCATTGTGGTTTTAATTTGCATTTCT